AACTTCAATAAAAATCCAAAGATTAGAAAAAGTGAAGCAACAATGAGTCCTAGTACAGTCCCAGCACTGAAGTCCCTGCTGCTCTTTATACTGGATGTGCTGCATCACTGACTGACAGCTGATGAAGAGTCTCTGGAAACACTCGTTTATCTCCTCTGCTCTTCCTTCTTCTCTCTGCAGGTGGAGGTGATGATGGTAAACAGGACGGTGTGTGTGCTGAGAGAGGAGGAGCTGTGTCCTGATGATCCAGAGAGGTTGAAGCAGCAGCAGCTTGTGTGTAGAGACGCTCTGACTGGGCCATGTTACTGGGAGGTGGAGAGGAGAGCTTCATCCAGCAGTGACTGACAGAGGAATGAGAAGAAGTGCAGATGACTGTCAGTGCTGCAGAGTGAACTGCTCTGAGAACAGCTCCACTGTCAGACACAATGTAGAGTCCAGCATCATCCCTGTGTGTCCCTCTGGATCTGACAGAGGATCATCAGTGTATCTGGACTGCTCTGCTGCTGCTCTGTCCTTCTACAGTCTCTGCACAGTCTCTGTCTGACTCTGGCTTCAGACCCTCCTGGATCAAACTCACCTGGAAAGACTTTCAAACATCACTCAATAGATTTGAATACAGAATATATTTGATATATACTGTAGATGTACTGTAGAGTTGCAGTTTGTCACTTGTAAATACAGTCTGTGAGCAGCTGTGAGCTGAAAGATCTTTCTAGAGCACGAAATGTTTTCACTCTTCTGTTGCTTTTTCATATATTTCCACAACATTAATATTGATCCCACCTGTCTCACCTGTTTCATGCTTTTATACATAATAACAGGACACGTGTGATCTGAGCGCTGCTCTGGTTGCTGTGCTGCACGTCTTCATTTAGATAACAGAGACATCTAGTGGATCAGAGGGAGAACTGCAAGGTGGAGCTGTGTTTTAGCATGGAAAACTTTTTATCTTTTAGGCGCAGATACAAATATGACAAGTATCAGTGTGAGATACAAAAGGTCACATCAGTCAGCAGAGGGAACAGTGATCACACAGCAATGTAAGAATAGAAACATAACAGTGAATCTGGACATGTATACAGATGGAAGCAAACAAACAGGATGTAACACTACATTAAAGCCACAAATGTGAAGAAAACAAACACAAAGGAAAATATATTTGATCTCAGGAATCCAAATGTTGACAAAGAATACAAACACACATGGAGGGGAAAAGACAGCTATTTTTATTTGAAGTTATGTGTTTCCCGTACATTTTTGGCATTTATATTCTTGGTTGCTCTCTTTATATTTTGCACATGCAAAATGTGCCCATCTTTGGCAAGATTCACTGCACCTGGAAAGAAAAATAAATGGCTCATATTCTGTTTGGTGAATACTATTACTCAACATTTTAATTATGATTGGCAAGTAATGATACTAAGACTTATGTGGTTCTTTTCTTTTGTTTTACCATTTCAATCATGCTGCGGTCAGCTTTAGCATCTAACATGGAGCAAACAATGCAGTAGTCCTCAGCGTTCCCTGAAACACAATCATAGTTAGGTTTTAATCAAACATTATTTATTGAATAATTAAAAAATAATAGTACATTTTTTCCAAATATACTTCCTGGAAAATTAGTCTAAATTAGACTTTGAGAAGGGTCTTATCTGAAAGTGTTTGAAGAGCACTATTTGTACTGTGCTGTTTGAAAAGCACTATTTAAATTGGAAGTACGCACTAACGTGATAAGGACTTTACTGGACTTACCTCGATTTTCAAGTAGGGTGCAAGCTATCTGCATTCGCTCCAGCACAACTGGCTCTGTAGTGGTTGACACCTCACTGACCTCTCCAAAATCAAGGTAGTGTTCTGCAAACTGTGAGATTGATCATAATTAGAATGTAAAGTCTTAATTAGGTAAAGGATAGGATAATTATAAGCCACAAGGCTTCAGCCTATTCCTTTTTCAGTTACTGTATGATTAAGTACTTCTATGTAAAATGATCATCTTTGTTGTTGTTGACCGAAATAACTTTCACTTCACTTAAATTCACTTAAAGTCTTAATTCTAGCTAACAAGAAATGGAATCATTTGAATAAGGGTTACCTTTAACAGTAAAACTCCACAACTGCTGGAATCCTGTCGCTTGTTGTGTTGCATAGTCTGTAACTGCCACTCCATGGTGTCTTCATGCCCTCTCATCCTCAGAAAATTCCTAGTTGAACAAAAGTGTTTGTAATGAAACAAGATTTTTTTTTTTAATCTAAGAATAACACCTCAGGATCATGCATACCTCCAGTTGCGCAGAATTTTCCTGTCATAAATGCCTTCATTCCCATGGGGTCTATGAGCAGTATTTTCTGTGCAGAAATGTTTACAATCTAAAGAAAAAGTTAAATTAAAAATTACAATTGTTTGTGCCACTGAAAACTTATTTAAAAATAACACTTTGTGCAAGAAACTGCTTCACAACATAGAATATAATTGCTGATAAAGGTTCTTTCTGCATATACTGAAACTGGGTATTATGATGTCACAGATGTCACAACATCTGTGTTGTGGTTGATAACATTTTTTCCTGTTGAAGTGAATGGGTGAAACCTTATCAGAGTTTTGCAATACAAACCCCCCGACCTACCCGCACATTTTAAACTATTAATGGTCTCTGCACTGCAAATGCTTCAGAAGGAGCAGAACCTCGAAATCAGACTCAATAATGATAAGTTCTCTTACCTCATCAGAAAGCCACCGTGACCCCTGCAGTGTTCGAAAAGAGGAATCCAATAACTTGTATGGTCCAACAGCTGCCTCCAAACGCCCAGTATCCTTTGCACTCCATAGCCTCTTTACTAAAAGAAAAATATGATAAGTTAGCTTAGGCATGCATGAGATTTCTAGTGGATACGCTTGGTAAAGGCCGACGGGCCACAACAGGAAAAAAGTCAATACAATAGGCATGCATTTACACGCAGAGAAATAGGAAAGGTACAGCGGTGGGCAAAATAGAAAATTACTGACAGGCAGATCCATTTCCAGACTTCCACAAGCTCAGTGCACGTTGCATGTTTCTTTACGTCTAATATGAGTTGAAGACTGCAAAATGCAAACAAAGTCATGCAACAGTCAATTAAGTTGCAACGCCAAACTGGCAACAAATGACCAACTGGTCAAAAAGAGTTGTTCACTATGTCACCTTCATTTTCTAAGCTTTGTTTCCGGGAGGGAAGTTCTTGTTCACGCGTTTCTGGTCCTGGAACACAATTAAACTCCTTGTGTCAGCCGTTTTGGGTGCAGAATGAATCCTCTGGACTTTGCTGGCACTGAGGGTTAGCAGTAGGATGGCAGGGAGGCATCTTCAGGTCTGTGCTGCTTTTCCCCGTCTGACTGCGAGTTGGGTATTTTTACTTGTCACTGATATTTACATGGTGGCTTCTTCTGTACGGCTTGATATGGTCAATGCTGTAGTGATTTCTTAAAGTTGCTCCTTCTGTGTTTTTTAATCTCACACATTTGCCAGCGATGTCTTGAATGGTGTAGGGTCCTGAAAAATCTGGATCAAGTCTTCCTCCCTTCCTTCCATGTTTCGTGTTCAAGAGAAGAACTTCATCTCCAACGCTGTACACAAGGTTTCTGTACTTCTGGACTCGTCTAGCATAAGCTTCCTTTTGTAAGTCTTGGGACTTTGCCATATTTTCCTCTACAGTTTTTTTTTAAACTTGCTCTTGTGCGTCTCTTGTAGAAGATACAAAGTCACCGTAACTCGACTCCTCAGGGAGAATGATGGGGAAAGCTAAAATTTTCACATTTTAAATTACAATTAGTCCACCACCAGCACCTTTGTTTTGGCCACATTCAGTTTCAGGTGATTCTCCTCACGAACCGACCAATCAGTCCTCTGTACTCCTCTTCCCTTCCCATTCCCTCTTTAATCCAGGATCTCAACCAGTTTGTTATGTTCTCTCTTATAACTAACTGGTAAAGTAACAACACATTTTTGGTTGTTAGTAACTTACTTTATTAACCATGTTGTGGAACGGCACAGGCATATCAATGCGCACATGCACCACGCTTGGTGTTCTCTACTTTACCACAAAATATAGACTGATTTTACTAAATACATCACAGTTCCTCCCATCCAGCTTTGATGAACACATTAAGTATCAAACAATCGAGATATTTTCAGGTAAATGCCGTAACCCAATAATTGTACTTAAACTGAAATATGACACCTACTCAGTGATTTACAACATAGAGGTAGGTTGTTTCCTCTTAAACATTTTAACTGCTTTCCTTACAAAATGAACTGGAAACCTATAAGTTCAGTCTCTGAGGTGCTCTGCGATTTCTCTCAGGGTAATGTCTGCCTGTTTGGTCAGAGTCCATAGTGCTCTGTGTGGAAAGTTCAGGTGTTTGAACATTGTGGTTTCACGTAAACCCTGAACCTCAGGAGTTAGGATCATGTAATTAAACTTTTTTTAAGGGAGAAGGCAGTGTTAGCTAGCAACCCAAATATAGGTAAAAGATCCAGTAAGACTTTAGCATCTGCTATTATTTCAATCAATTCATCACCAAATGTATAAATAAATAAAAGATGTGCTTACAGTCTGAGGAGATTGTCCCCAACACCACAGATCGCATTCGCAACACTGTCCAGTGATGCTGCATCTCCCTGCAAAGGATCATCTCCTCCTCTCTCAGGCGCCTCACAGCCATCACCTTCTCAAAGACCTTTCTCTTTGTCCGGAGGTCAGCAGCAGCTGCAGTTTAACAACATCAGATGGGAAAACATAGCAGCATATTATGATTCAAGAACAAAACATTCAACTGCTGCTCAGATACTGGGAGTTTGTTTAAAAAGGATATTTAGAAATCAAGAGCTTACGTTCACTTGTGCTCTGCCAGGGCCAAACGTCGCTCTGCATGAGGGCATCACTGGATACGATTTGCTTTGTTGCTTGTTTCCTTGTTGTAGTCGTCAACAGCAGCCGCCAAGCGTTTCTTCTCATGTAAGATGACCTTGTGAATTCTGTGTCGCCTCTTGTTGCTATCTGTAAATAATCATAAAAAGGAACACCTTCACATAATGCATATATTTACATTTTAATCTACACTCATCAATTCGTTTGCTAGAACAAATCACATCCAGCTTCAAACAAACCTGGATCTGATTTTATTCTGTTTACAAAGTAGCTGTACAAGCTGTACAAACTGAGCATCAAACGGTCCGTTTCAAAGAAACTGTGACACCATTTTGTCTGTAAAGACTTTGTGTTCGCACTCTGATGATGACGACAAGCTGCTCTACTCGTGCCTGCAACGCTCCAAGGCTGCCATCAGTTTGATCCGTTTCTAAGTGAGAGGAATATTAATCAGAACACAGGATGAGTAACAGTCACCAAACTACAGTGGACTCTGTAATCACTGACTTGATGATATTCATTATAAGACATCTGGAGCCTTCATGTGCTGCATTATCATGAGATAACAAGTATGTTGCTGTCAGCTTTATAAAACCAACTAGTACGACATCACTTCAACCCAGGTCCAATCCAATTTGATCAAACGCAACAACTCTGCCATCAATTCTGCTTTTACAAGCTTATTTTTCATTGTTTGTTGACACTGTCAGAAAGATCTTAACTCTAAGTTCTTTAATGAGGCCATGGTGGGTCCTGTTGTTATACACGAGTGCATTATATTGAGACTCACCTTCAGCCCATTGCTGCAGTGTGTCGTCATCCACACCCAGCTCATTTCTGCTCGCATTCAGGCTCTCCACTTGTTCTCTAAAGATCCTTATGATCTAAGAATACATTAATAAATGTCATTCATATGGACATTTTTAGAGTACTGGTGTTTCCCCCCATTACCACACACATTAAAATGGGTGTTGAAAAAATGACCTTTAGATATCTCTGGCTCAAAGTGCGGCCCAGTTGTTCCACTTTCCTTTTGTTCCAGCCCAAAGCCAGGAGGCTCAGCATGTCTGTTCACCCTGCATTTCAGTTAGTATACAAATAAGAATGAATGAGCAGGAGACTGAGTGGAATCTCACACACAGACACACACCTGCTTTAGACATGTACTTCGTTGTGATGGCCGCCCTAGACAGGAAACTGTTTACTTGCTCCACCTCTTCTCCAACTGTAGAATCGGCCCCATCCTGAAACGCACCTCCCCATTTGATCTATAGAAAGGAGGTCACAATACATGACTGCTGAATTCATTCAACCTTATAACAAAATGTCTTAAACGTATCCAAGACTACAAGCTGCAGTATACCTCGCACATCCAAGTGTGAGCTACTCAAAATGAAGTACACATTAAGATAAAGTCAAGTAAATAGTATTACGACAACACCAAGAGAAAAACAAAATAAATATCCACCCATCCAAATATGTATCCACACACACACACGTATGAGTATATGGTTATGGCGTTAACGTCATTTTAACAAGATTAACGCTGACAGCACTGATATATATGTGTATCTTACATCATTTGTGTGTCTCTGGATGTATTTCACAAACTCAGCAACTTCCTCATCTTTCTCAATGAAGACACCTTCAAAGTTCCCCTGCTCTGAAGTGCTGAACGAACACGGTGACAGTTGTTTGAAAAGAAACATCAAAATACAATTTTTGTACAAATCCATATTTGATTTATGTACACAATGCATAACGTACCTTGCATTTGATTGAAAGCGATAAAGCTTGCAGTTTCCATCAACTGAGACGGCGAGCATGTCTGGAGTGCAGGCAGGGCAGCTAAAGCATGGCTCCTTGCACATCCTGTCCACCTCACACTTTACAGCACTCCACTCCAAGAAACTTTTGCTGAAGGCATCAGCTGATATTCAGCCAGTCTTTTAAGTAGAGGACAAACAACAGAATATTCACGGACAGTCATCATAAACATTGATTTGCACAATTTCCTTAAACTTGACAAATTTAGAAACTCACCCTTCCAAAATGGGCTGTTCGTTCATCCAGCACTTTGACAAAGGCCTTAAGTGACATCCTGCTGCAGCTTCTTAATGTCATAGAAAGACTGAAAGACATCCATTGAAAACAGGTGCAGAAATTTAAGGTGCCAGGCCAATATCCACCACCCTGGAAGTCCTTAACTGAGGGGGACCACATTAGGCCACAGCTGGTGCAGCTCACCACTGGCAGTGCAAGGTTATAACGGCCTTTAGGAAGGATAAGGAGAAATCCAGTCATGGCTCAACAAAGACATTCATTTTTTCCCATGTTGTTTTCAAAGCGGTCTGGTAAATCCAAATGACCTTTGACAGGTGCCCACATATACTGCGGGCCGAGGGTAATTCAAAACAATGTAGCAATGTACAATTTGCAATAAAACCTGCAAACACATCTATTGTGTATGTACTGTGTGACAAAAGAGCAACTTACCATTTATGGTTACAAGAGCCACAATTGCACCGGGTGAAACCTCAACGTTACCTGCTGGGCAGTCACACACAGTCTGGTCTTTGCACAGGCAACAGCCGAACTAACATTAAAAACACACAATATATATAAAAAGAATTGGAAATTAAATGATACACAATAATATACAATAAACAATACAAACAGCACACACTCATAGTACATAGCAATAAATGCATAAGACTTAAAAACCGTACATATTGGATTGTGAAACTCTGATGAAGGCTGCAAAAACCCTCCTGTTACTGCCTCTCTGCTGTGCAGGACAAAGCGTGTGTGAACTGCAATATCACAGTCAGCACAAAGGAATGGAAGAGGCAGGCAGTCCAGACACCTCACAACTACTTGTTTGCCACACTGACACACACGGTGTGACTGTGGATCCAGAGTAGCTAACATATTGTCTATAAGACAAGGCCTGGCCTCTTTCCACTTTAGCAAGGACACCATGTTTCTGATCGCCCAGTGAGTAGCAGCTGACTCAGACAACGTCTCACAAGTCATGGCTGCGTCCTCTTCTCCATCCTCCAACAACTGAAGGAGCTCCTGACGAAGCACCTCAGTTCCACACACTAACAGAAAAAAAATAAAGAAACTCTTCCACAAAGTGAAAAACACTCTAGGCAGTATGTTTCTTAGGACTGCACAAAAGCCCTGCCTAACTCAACTATAACAACAAATATAAAAGTAAAGGAATCACAATATATACAAGAAGGTAAAGTACCTTTTGTTGGGTTGACACTGGCAACATAACTAGGTTCTTCACGTGGACACTGATGCTGATCTGCAGACACTGGGGGGAAAAAGAGATTGAAGAATATTTACTTACTGAAATTCTTTGGTGAAAACAAGTTGTGAGATAAAATCAATGGTTGTGAGAACACTGACCACGTGGCAACTAGTACTTCGACTGGATGATGTCTTTGAGGAATAAAATCTCCCTGTCTGTCAAGGGCGGCATCACTTACATTTTGATTAGATACCTTGAGTTTGTAAATGATCAGATTACATAATTGGAATACAATGTATCCAATTCAGGGTTGCAGGAGGATGAAGCCTATCCCAGCTGATACAGGACAAAGACAGGCTGCCAGTTTATTGCAGGGCTAACACGATATGTGTAACAGAAAATCCACTTAAATGTTTGATATTTCTTATAATAATCATAATTATGACTATTATTTAAAGGTTTCTTTAAATAATACATTTTGATTTTTTATAACCTCTAAAATATAAACCTGAGCTGTTTCAGATTCTGACCTCTGACCTCACTGCAGCTCCCTCTTGGAAGTACGTCTGCTTCTTGTCTACCCCCAGTGATGACCGCCTGCCCTTGATATCACGTACTGTACCTGAGGAACAAAAAAAGGACAAACACTTGCCTTCATTTAAGAAGTACATTCATACAGAGGTAATCTATGGAAACACACTAGTTCACCCTTTGGGAGAAATCAGTTCCTGTGAAACATTTCTGTAAATGAACATCATGTGGAGAATGAATGAAATGAGTTCTTCAGGTGACTCAGCAGTCCCACACTGACAAATGAAATCTAGTTAAACTATTAAGCATATTTGCTCTTCTGAAATCTGTGTTAAACAACAACAAACATAAATTAGTAACAAAAATACAGCTGAGTAGAGGCTTTACAAACCACCAGCAGCCATAATGCTAAATTTTAATCTTCAAATGTTTCTGAGCCGTCTTCAACCTGCTTTTAACACATTAAAGTCCCACAGTCAATGCAGCCTGACTCAATCCTAGATGTTCAGCACACAGAGACACAGTGTGCCGTTTAAAGTTTAGTGATAACCTGAGTCACTGATCATTTGCAGTATTACAGAGTCTGGCAGTCTTTGCATGATGTCCACGTCACTGTGAGTTTCTAGCTGACTCTCAGGTGTGACAGGTGTGCCAGCAGGAAAGAGTAATAATAACCTGCATCCTGAGGTTTGTCATGCAGGATTAAAGCAGCCAGGCTTTGTTCACACAGCTAGGATTGTATTTTACACTGACCCTGGGTCAGTATAAGTATCATACAGTTTAAACGAAGCACTGAAACTTGCACATATTTATTACAGATGCACTGAAGCTAATCGAGATATTTGCTGTCAGTCTGTGGCTGCGATTAAAACTTTACTGGAAACTTTATTAACTAGTAACTTCATCAGTCATGACAGAAGCTAATATTTCTGTGCTAACATCGTTTAAACAGTAACAGCTTTCCTCCAATATAAGCTAACGTTTACACCGTAACTTTAAGCTAGCACCATAAAGACGGTAAACACGTAATATATCTACAAATGCATCTTAAAGCTGTTATATTAGCACTCTGTGTATTACTAATGTGGCTGCCGTCAGCAGCAGTTATGCAATTTGAGACAATTTTATGGTTCAAGTTACAATGAATAAGTGAAATACTTTATTGTTAATATATGTGTGTGATGTAATGTATGTTGTTGGCTGGAAATACATTTACAAGGGTTATAGAATGTTTCCGGGGTGGAACCAATGTTTAGTCTGTTGTTTGGGGTGACAATATTTTCAGTTACACGCCACACTCGGTAGAGCGCAGCATGCTTTTCGTCTCTCTCTGGTGGTGGTAGAAACATGTAGACGCATGCAACGGAGTGTTCGACTATGGAAAGAGTGACACTACAAGAAGCGTTTCATTTGCCCTGCAAGTTAATGCGGCCAATGAGGTATGCAATTTGTATATGTTGTGATAGAAAATAAGATGTTTGTTTGTGATAGAGCGAGCGAGTTTATGGTAACCACGTGTATATGTTAGCATTTTGTGAAGGTAAATTGTAAGCATTTGTGTTTTAATGATGTACCTTATTGTTTTTCTCTATGAGAACAATGTACGGTGGAAATTGATTATTTTATGTTGTTGTACAGTTCTCACGGCATCGTTACGGCATCTCTGGTGCATCGTTGGTGGCGCCCGTGTGCAATAAATGCCAGTAAATCAAGAACGCCTTGTGTTCGTTTTTCAACTTGGAGGGAGTTTACAGTGAGAACTCAGTCTGCTCGGCATGAGGCGAGGAGACGAGTAGCGGTGTCGTCACCCACTGAGCAAGAAGAAATTCATCGCACGCTAGCATCAGACAGATAAGACTATGCATACGCCAGTTAACCTAAGCAGCAAACAGTTGAAGTTTACATGGACGATCCTTTAAGTGATGCATTTAAAACAAGTTAAATGTTAAGAAGTGGGTCAACTTTGACGACTGTTTAACGGAACACTGTAAGAACTGAAAGTAATCTGTGCTCTGCATATCTCCTTTCTAAGTTCATGTTCTGTCTAATAAGATTTTTTTATAGGTGAAGTCATTTTTACCTATTCGTGTTATTTGGATGCTAGAAGTGTTGTAGAATTAAGTGCTGCGTCGTATGTGTTGTTGGTTTAGGAACAAAGTTCACCATATTTATACGACTCAAGATGGTATTCATTCAGATATTTTTATTAAGGTTTAAGGTGTTGTAAAATCTTGAAGGTATTATCCATTCTTGATGTTTTGGACAAGTTCACCTAAAGACAAGGTTAAGCTGTAGCTATTAATATTTCAGGCAATTGAGCTGGTCTGTTGTTAAACCGCATGTCTGTTAAAGGTATAGCTAGAATTTATTTTGTGCCAAGTAATAAGTAAACATCGCAGAATGGATCAAACAACTGAATATGAAACTAAGAACGGCGACGTACTTGAGGATAGTAGTGCCACAAATGTACAGCAGTCATGTGAAGAAGAGCCACGAAGAAGTCAAAGACCTCGAAAGCTTACTGAAAAGGCTCAGCAACTGCATGATGATAAGTCAAAAAAACTTCAGCATCGTTTCACTACAACTTATGATAAATGGAAAGCAAACGCCAAGCAAGCTAAGAAAATGATAAAGGGAGCCCCCTCTGTTGAGGTTGTGAAGGATTCGATGTGTAAGTTAAGTTGTGCATCAGCAGATGTGAAACACGCATATGAAGATTGCGCAAATGTGCTTCCCCAGACAGTGAGATCCGTCGTAGGGCAGACACCTGTGACGCGGTATCCAAAATAATCTTGGACAATGCAACCACTTACCTTCAGAATAAAGATAACGAAGACGTTCAGATAGAGGATTTAGTCTGGCCTGAGTCTAGTTCAGTGTTTTCATCTTCAGCTTCTCAAGGCACAAGTAAGGGCTCTCAAAGAAGTCTAAGCTCTGCAAGCAGTTCCAGCATAAAGTCACAAAAGTCAAGCCTTTCCTCCATTAAGAGACAAGAGGCCGTAGCAGAGCTAGCTGCTACACAAGCTGCACTAAAGGTCCTGCAAGAGATAGAATGTGAGCAACAAGAACTTGAAAGTCTTGAAGAAGAAAATCGAAAGAAGATTGCATTACAAGAGGAAGAAAATGTGGCAAGAAAGAAAGCACTGGAAGAGAAACGCAGACAAATAGAGCGCTTACAGACTGTTAAGGAGCTAAGTGCGGCGAAGGCACGACTCCAAGTTTATGAACAAGACATAAGCTCGGATGAGGAAATAACAGAGTTACTTCATAACCACGCAGCTCAACAACATAGATCTCCAGGAGTTGTAAGGAGTCCACGTGAGCATCCCGTGATACACCAAGCAGATAGTATCACAGTCCTCGCTGAAGCAATAGCAGAGTCTATTAATGTAAGCCATCTCCCAACACCTGAACCATCTATCTTCATGGGTGATCCACTAAGGTATAGCGATTGGAAGATGTCATTTCAAACCCTGATAGGTAGGAAAATTCCAGTAGGGGAAAGAGTCTATTACCTTCGTAAATATGTTGGCGGACCTGCAAAAAAGGCCATTGAAAGCTACTTCCTATTAGGAACGGATACAGCTTACAACTCAGCATGGGACATCCTGGAAGAAAGGTTTGGAAGTTCATTCGTGATAGCTAAAGCTTTCAAGGATAAGCTTGCCGCATGGCCCAAAATTGGACCCAAAGACAGTGTTGAGCTGAGGGATTTTTCAGACTTCCTTAGAGGCTGCCAGGCTGCAATGTCCCAGATTAAGGGTCTGGAAGTATTGAACGACTGTGATGAAAATCAAAAACTTCTAACAAAACTGCCAGATTGGCTGGTGGCCAGTTGGAATAGGAAGGTGACGAGGTAGAAGAAACTTGTAATGTGTTTCCTACTTTCAGTCAGTTCGTGGAATTCATCACAAAGGAAGCAAAAATAGCTTGCAACCCAGTGACTTCTCTTCATGCCCTGAAGTTTAATGATGGTGAAAAGGTAAAGATAACAAAGGCACGAAACATTGGTGCAAAGGTGCTTGCGAGCAACTCTGAAGAGAATGCAGAACGTAAGAAATGCACTTTTTGTGAAAGATGCAATCATGGCATACAGACATGCTGGAAGTTCAGGGAAAGACCAGTTGAGGAACGCGTTAAGTTTGTTCAGACAAGAAGTTGTGCTTTGGATGTTTACAACCAGGACATCTCTCAAGGACCTGCAAAAGAAGGAGTCTTTGTGAGACATGTAAGGAAAAACACCTGTTTACATGAAGACCGTGAAAGAGCAACCAGAGAGAGAAAGCAGTGATGAGCATGGGGAGAGTGTAAAAAACTCGAAATATGCTAAGTCAACGGAAGGAACAGAGAGCAAACATACTCCTGAACCATCAAATGAAGCCACGTCAAACAGTAGTGCAAGGTATGGACAGCATGTACTCCTCTACGGTTGTCCCAGTTTGGCTATCTACATCAAGTAACCCAGAGAATGAAATTCTTGTATATGCACTACTTGACAACCAAAGCGATACCACATTCATTATGCAAGATAAGGCAGAAGCTCTGGAAATGAAAGGGGAGGCTGTGCAGTTAAAACTCTCCACACTTTCATCCAGAAATACAATCATCCCGAGTCAAAGGTTAGTTGGACTGCAGGTGAGAGGTTTCTATTCATCAAAGAAGATTTCTCTCCCTGTAACCTATTCAAGAGAGTTCATCCCTGCCAATCTAAGTCACATTCACACCAAGAAAAAGAGCTTGGACACACCTAGAGCATCTTGCAGAGGAGATCGCTCCATTGATTGAGTGCGATGTAGGGCTTCTCATAGGATACACTGTCCACAGGCTTTGCTGCCCCGAAGGTCGTCCCAGGTAAAGACAATGATTTGCTCAAAGGACAGATCTTGGATGAGCATATATTGTGCTATAGGAAGCAGTCACAAGATTGTCATGAAGTCAGTGAAACCTCACCTCCAGACATCTAAAGCTCACAAACGAAATATATATGTCGAACCCAAGTCAAGGAGTTCATTTCACCGCCAGATGTGCTGAGGATGCTTGAGTCTGACTTCAGTGAGAGAAGAGTAGAGGATGCTAATCTATCTCAGGAAGACTTGCGTTTCCTAACCATCATGGAAGAAGGAATCAAAATCAAGGCGGATGGTCACTGTGAAATGCCGCTCCCCTTCAAGAAAGATCGACCAAATCTCCCAGACAATAAGACGTGTGCAGTCCATAGGCTTCGATGTTTGAAAGGAAGATTTGAAAAGAACAAACAATATCAAAGGGACTACACGACCTTTATGAGTGAAATCATAACAAATGGGGATGCAGAAAAGGTCCCAAGAGGAGAAATTAACAACAGTCCTGTGTGGTACATTCCTCATCACGGGGTGTATCACCCACACAAGCCAGGAAAAATACGGGTTGTATTCGACTGCTCAGCAAGATTTGAAGGCGTGTCACTAAATGATCACCTTCTTACCGGACCAGAATTAACGAACAGCCTGATAGGTGTTCTCTGTCGCTTTCGCAAGGGACAAGTTGCCATAATGTGCGATATCGAGCGTATGTTCCATCAGTTTCACGTCAAAGCAGAGGACCAGGACTACTTGAGATTTCTCTGGTGGGACGATGGAAACTTCCAGGCTCAACCATCAGTCTATCGCATGCGAGTGCATCTATTTGGAGCTGCCTCTTCCCCTGGTTGTGCAAACTTTGGGTTGAAACATGTTGCTGCCCAAGGACATGGTCACTACAGTGAAACGACCATTCAGTTCATTGAACGAAACTTTTACGTGGACGATGGGCTCACAAGTGTCGCAACCAAGGATGAAGCCATTAAGTTAGTAAAGGAAGCAAGGCAACTCTGCAGTGCTGGCAAACTGCGAATTCACAAATTCATTTCTAACGATCATGAGGTACTTGCATCCATTCCAGAGAGTGAACGTGCAGATTCAGTACGAAACCGCAACTTGGTTCTTGGTGAGTCCCAAATTGAGAGAGCTCTGGGAATCAAATGGTGCATTGTTGCAGACCAGTTCCATTTCAGAGTGATTGTGGATGAACGCCCACTTTCCAGAAGAGGAGTCTTATCAACTGTGGCATCCATCTATGACCCTCTCGGCTTTGTGGCACCATTTGTTCTGGTTGGAAAGCAAATACTCCAACAGATGTGTCAAGACAAGGTTGGATGGGATGAACCACTGTCAGAAGAGCTCAAACCACGGTGGGAGTCTTGGCTATTGGATTTAAGGAACCTGGCTGACATCAAAATTCAGCGCTGTTATCTCCCAGAAGGTTTTGAGAAGGTCGAAAGATATGAACTGCATCATTTCTCAGATGCGAGTGTTAAAGGGTACGGTGAATGTTCTTACTTGAGAGCAATCAGTGTTTCAAACCAAGTCCACTGCTCTCTAGTTATTGGCAAAGCCAGGGTGACTCCTACAAAGGTCACCACAGTACCCAGGCTTGAGCTATCAGCAGCAGTTATTGCCGTGCGAACGAGTGACCTGCTTAAAAGGGAGTTGGAAGTTCAAGCCAAAGAATTCTTTTGGACAGATTCGAAGGTTGTTCTTGGATACATCAACAACGAGGCTAGAAGGTTTCACATATTTGTGGCAAATCGCATTCAGCGTATCCAAGAAGGTTCCGATCCAGACCAATGGAGATATGTGACTTCTGAGAACAATCCCTGACCATGCATCACGGGGTCTGACAGCAAAGGGACTAATTACTTCCAGCTGGTTCACCGGTCCAGATTTTCTCTGGCAGGATAAACTTCCTGCTGATGACATTAAGGTGGGAGAGTTGGGAGCTGAAGATCCAGAACTTCGTAAGACTTTTGTCCATAAGACACTGACCACAGAAGATTCGTTGCTCAATCATTTCTCAAGATTCTCAAACTGGACAAGGCTAGTTAAAGCAATTGCACGACTCAAGCGATACGTCAAAGAGCTGAAAGGTCTGACGTACAGAACAAACGAAGTCACCAGTCTTGAGGAGAGGAAAGAGGCAGAGCTTTTCATCATAGCTACTGTCCAAAACGAACTGTTTTCTGAAGAAATCAAAGATCTGAAATCGAAGCAGACAACAACAAGAGATCGTGCAAATAGGTTGCACAAACTGAATCCTTTTTTGGATAAAAGGGGTGTGTTAAGAGTGGGAGGTCGGCTGGAGCATGCAGATTTACACCCACACATCAAACATCCAATGATCTTGCCAAACAAAACCCACATATCAAAGTTACTGATTGAACACTTCCATCAAAGGGTTCATCACCAGGGACGTGGGATGACGATGAATGAGCTGCGATCAAATGGCATTTGGCTATTGGGATGTAGTCACGCAGTGTCTTCCTACATCTACAAGTGTGTCAAATGTAGGAAATTCAGAAGGAATGCTGAGGTACAAAGAATGGCAGATTTACCGCGTGAGAGAGTTGAAGCATCGCCCCCTTTTTCCTATTGTGGAATGGACTGTTTCGGCCCGTTTTACGTTAAGGAGGGAAGAAGGGAACTTAAACGCTATGGTCTGCTATTCACATGTCTGTGCTCTCGTGCTGTGCATATAGAGCTTCTCGACGACATGACCAGTGATGCCTTCATTAATGCTCTTCGAACCTTTATCGCCATACGAGGAAGTGTTCGACAACTTCGGTCCGATCAGGGTACCAACTTTGTTGGAGCAAGACGGGAGTTCTTGGTATCTGTAAGGAAAATGGACCAAGAAAGCCTAAGACAACTAGGTTGTGAGTTTGTCATGAACCCGGCATCTGCCAGCCATATGGGTGGGGCCTGGGAAAGGCAGATTAGGACGATTAGAAGTGTTTTGACATCCATTCTGGATCATTCATCCAGAAGACTTGACACTTCATCCTTGCGTACCTACCTTTATGAAGTCATGGCGATCATAAATAGTAGGCCCTTAACAACTCACCTGTTGAACGATCCCACTGGTCCACAGCCTCTTACGCCGAATCACATCCTGACTATGAAGTCTTCAGTGGTTTTACCACCACCTGGTGAGTTTGTGAAGGAAGACCTTTATCTTCGCAAGAGATGGCGCAAGGTGCAATACCTGGCTAATGAATTCTGGACCAGATGGAAAGGGGAATACTTGCTGAATCTTCAGCAGAGAGGAAAATGGTACAAGGCACGGAGAAATGCTAAGATCAACGACATTGTGGTGCTGATGGACAATAGTCTACCCAGAAATGAGTGGAAGTTGGCCAAGGTAACCAAGGTGTACCCTAGTGAGGATGGAATCATTAGGAAACTCGAGCTGCTAATCAGTGATGCGACATTGGATGACCAAGGAAAAAGAGTTAACAAGCCAGTGTATCTTGAAAGACCTATCCACAAAACAGTTACCCTACTTGAAGCTGAATAGTTCAGAATTCTTGTCTCTGTGATCTATGTGACTAAGGGACTGTATACACTTGCCTTTACAACGAGGTTCAGTTGAAAAATCATTAATGATTTGGTGGGAGTGTGGCTGCCGTCAGCAGCAGTTATGCAATTTGAGACAATTTTATGGTTCAAGTTACAATGAATAAGTGAAATACTTTATTGTTAATATATGTGTGTGATGTAATGTATGTTGTTGGCTGGAAATACATTTACAAGGGTTACAGAATGTTTCCGGGGTGGAACCAATGTTTAGTCTGTTGTTTGGGGTGACAATATTTTCAGTTACACGCCACACTCGGTAGAGCGCAGCATGCTTTTCGTCTCTCTCTGGTGGTGGTAGAAACATGTAGACGTATGCAACGGAGTGTTCGACTATGGGAAAGAGTGACACTACAAGAAGCGTTTCATTTAACCCCTGCAAGTTAATGCGGCCAATGAGGTATGCAATTTGTATATGTTGTGATAGAAAATAAGATGTTTGTTTGTGATAGAGCGAGTGAGTTTATGGTAACCACGTGTATATGTTAGCATTTTGTGAAGGTAAATTGTAAGCATTTGTGTTGTTTAATGATGTACCTTATTGTTTATTCTCTATGAGAACAATGTACGGGAAATTGATTATTTTATGTTGTTGTACAGTTCTCACGGCATCGTTACGGCATCTCTGGTGGCATCGTTGGTGGCGCCCGTGTGCAATAAATGCCAGTAAATCAAGAACGCCTTGTGTTCGTTTTTTCAACTTGGAGGGTTACAACTAACATAACCACATTAACATTACTGACACTCGCAGACTTTTAATAGTCATTCTATAAATGCTGTCCGTTTAAATGGTCTTACCTGGTGGTCCATATGGTCCATAAGTGAAGCAGAGGGAGCCTGACCATGCGTCACACGTTTGACGAGTTGGAGTGAGAACTGTTGGGCTATAAGGAACACACTCACTTCCTGAGCCCTGGGCAATAAGAACGTTTTGTGTTTTATGATTTATTGATATGTTTGATCCTTTCTGACCTGCGTTAATGAAGCAGTCATTAGAGCACCATGTCCGCTAGAATAGTTCTGTAGTTTGATGCTTGAGTCGTTGCAGACTTGTTGAAACTCCCTCACCGTCAAAGCAGCGTCTTTGTTATTCGCGTCCAGCAGATGCAGTGTTTCACTGTCTGACGGCTGTCTGAAGCTTCAGCTGGATATCCGTTTAAATGAGATCGTTTTATAAAATTACAACAACAGGCCTGAACCTGCTCAGCTCCAAAGAGCTGGCTAAACGATGGGGCATGTTCAGAATCTTCCTGAAGTTTAACAATTTCCCAAAAAGCTCCACAAAGTGAATTTTCATATAAGACAAGAAGGAAAGAACAGGGTGTGACGTGGAAGGGCCCTCTGGCAAACAAATTACTGCTTTTATTAAGTTACAAAACTCGCAGTCTTGTTCACGAGTGATCAGAGAAGGGAACAGGAGATGGACAGATGGATCGGTGCTGCGGCTGCAGACTCTTCACCAGTCCCTCTTTACCAGTCGATTTACGTCCTTACCCTCTGTCACAACGGGACTGAACGGACTCACGCGTAGGCTCTGAGTAGGAACAATAAGGTTTTTTATTTACAGAAGCACCAGGTGATCTATTTACACAGTGGGGAAAAGACGGGTTCCGGGAATCCACACACGAACAGGAGGGGGGAAAGACACTTGCAGTCCACACACGCTCCAAAGTCCTCACTCCATCCACGCTCCACGCTCCTCTTCACACTCCACAAGAAACACAAAAGCTCGCTCCAATCCTCACACACTTGATCGCTCAGGTAACACAGGGCAGGTCCAGGGAAATCTATTCACAGAGATGCAAAAGGTTACTGTAGAAGATCGCTAGGGAAACACGAGAACGAACTGAGCTGGGTTAACACTGACGAGAGTCGGCAACGGTCCAGCGACGAGAAATACAGGGCTGCCATCTTATAAGGGACTGGAACACTGTTGGGTGATGAGCCACAGGTGTCACCAGGTGCGTGGGCCAAGGGCAGGAGCCCACAGATGAGCTCCGCCCAGGCAGTGAGAGAAGGAGGGAGGGAGAGAGCGGGACAAAATCAAAAAAAAAAACACATGTAGCCACACTGAGGCGAGCGGTAGACACAGGGACCCTGACACCCTCGCCTTTTTCACAAATGTCATGTATGAAAATCTATAATAACTCCAGTTATACGGATATCAATATCCTCACTTATGAGGATATTGATAAACTGATTTGAACTTTTACTGATTTCTGTTTAGATATAAATTGATTCAAAGTGGTCAGATATGCAGATTCTGACCTTTCCTCTGTATGCTGCCCTCACGACACGTGACCCTGTGAGGTTAGACAGCTAGCGAACAAATAGAAGGTCTTCCACACAAGGCTTGACTTTCTTGTTTTATGTAACTAGAACATGAGAAAAAATGAAAATGAATCGCTGGTTAACACACATCTTAATAACAACTTGCCGATTAGCCTAGCTTAACATGTACATTACATCAGCATACAGTTCGCTCATGTAAACACCATAACGACTTGTCTCTACACATGTCAATACTCACAAAGACGAACGTTTTCCGAGGTGCGAACGTGTAGAGCACTCTTAGCGTGAACATGAACTAGTCCCTATTTAATAACTGCCGGAGCACTTTTTCACGACATCATAAGCGAAAGGGTACATCAAAGATAGGTTAGTGAACAGGACGCTCCCTCGCTCCATTTCCGCACATAGGATACAAAGATCTCTTGTGGAAATGATGTCTCACTCTGAGCTTATTTATCACTCTGCTTATGTGGCTCAATCAGCACACACACCAACCGCTGACTTTTGACTCAAGGGCATAACACTCCCCGCTTGATATACACACATTATATCACAATAAACATCAATACAACATATTCAAACATCATCTAGCATTGAAGAATATTCATTCAGTCTCTGCAAGCAAAACAACAATCTCTGAAACTGGTCTGAGAAACATTTTAACAGTCCCATCTTTTACAGTCCGCACTTCCACTTTTCGGACCTTCTTGTCGCTGCTGGGGAATGTTTTTACTATTAGTCCCATGGGCCATTCGTTCCTGCTGGCTTGGGGTCCTTTAGCAGGACCACATCTCCTATTTTGACATTAGGTCTAGTCTCTGTCCATTTTGCACGACCTTGTAAGGTGGATAAATACTCTCCCTTCCACCTTTTCCAAAAAGTGTCAGCGAGGAGTTTGTTTCCATTGTTTCCCAAACAGCTGCCCTGATGAGAAGTTCCCAAGTGGGGCGGACACAGCACTCATCTTCTGCGTTAGTAGCACTGCTGGAGTGAGTACTGCAGGACTGTCAGGGGGTGGATATGGGAAGAGGCCTTGCATTAATAATTGCCATCACCTCGGCCATGAAGGTGCACAACACTTCATGAGTAAGACGTGTTTGTTCAGTTCGTAACAACATTGCATCCAGAATGCGCCTGGCAACGCCTATAAGGCGCTCCCACGAGCCTCCCATATGAGACGCATGGGGGATTGAAAGTCCAAACACACCCTCTCTCTTGCAGGTACTTTCCTACTGCTTTGTTTCCTGAGTTTAGGTCTAATTCCTTACAAGCGCCCACAAAATTCGTGCCTCTGTCCGAGCGCAGAAACTTGGCCGGGCCCCGAATAGAGAAGAGCCTTCTTAATGCATTGATAAAACTATCAGCAGACATAGTCTCTATCAGTTCGATATGCACAGCCCTAGTTGACATGCATGTGAATAACACAGCCCAACGTTTGTTCTGGGAACAACCACCTCTTGTACGACGCGTCACAATAGTCCATGGCCCAAATACATCTAGGCCTACAGTGGTAAAGGGTGGTTCAGGGGTGACTCGGTCTGCAGGCAAGTCTGCCATTTTCTGGATCTGCATTTTGCCTCGCAACTTGCGACATGTGACACACCGATGAATGACAGATGACACAAGCCGCTTCCCTCCAATTATCCAGTACCCAGCACCACGGATAGCTCCTTCAGTTATGTGTCTTCCTTGATGAGCCACTCGTTCATGATAGTGAGTTACAATTAGCATGGCGATGTGGCTGGTAGATGGGATAATCAGAGGGTGCTTTTCATTCTCTGTGAGATCGGCAGCGGAAAGACGTCCACCGACTCGTAAGAGACTGTCTTTGTCCACTACAGGATTGAGCTTTTTGAGTGCATCAAATATGCCACTGACCTTCCTTCCTTCTTTAATGTTTTCAAGCGTCCCTTTGTAAGCTTCTTGTTGGACTGCTCGAATAATGACTGCTTGGGCTCGGGTGAGTTCTTGGACGCTCGGTGTCTCACTGAAACCTTTCCATCCCCTTCGCCCACTTGTCTTTTGTGCAAAGGATGTAACTACATGAATGAGTCTGGCTATGACTCTGCAAAGAGTGATCCAGTTTGAGTACTTTTTGAAACGGTCAGAACCAACTGTGGCTCTGCTACAGTAGTTTTCATTACTTTTATTTCCGGATGTATCTCTCTGTCTTTTTCAGGTTCGATGAGCGTGAAAGGACCAGTGTGTGGTTCTGTGTGTGGGTCAGAGTACAGAAAGGGTGGACCTGAGAACCAGGTACTGTTCTGCAGGTCTGCTGCTGGAATGAACCGAGTGGCCTGGTCAGCTGGATTTAACTCACTTGGTACATAATGCCATTGACTCGGATGGGTGGATGCTCTAATGCGCGTAACCCTGTTGGCAACATACATGTAGAATCGTCTGGAGGTGTTGTGTATGTACCCCAACACAATCCTACTGTCTGTGTAAAAAGTCACATTGTCTACTTTAATGTCTAACTCGTCTCTGATGAGCTCAAACATTTCCACCGCGAGCACAGCAGCACATAGTTCCAGGCGTGGTACAGTGTGTGCGGGGCGGGGTGCGAGTTTAGACTTCCCCATCACAAACCCAGTATGACACTGTCCTTCACTGTCAACTGTACGCAGATAGACTACTGCACCTATAGCGACAGTGGAGGCATCACAGAAAATGCAAAGTTCTTTCACTTTCGTTGTGCTTAACGTACCTGGGCTGTAGCACCTTGGTATTTGGAGGTTCTCAAGGGCTTGCAAAGAGTCTTTCCATAAGTCCCACCTCTCCTGTTTCTCAGGGGGTAAGAGTGTGTCCCAGTCTTTTCCATCAGATGACAGTTCCCTGAGTAATGCTTTGCCCTGCATTATTATGGGAGCAGCAAATCCCAAAGGGTCATAGAGGCTATTAACTGTCGACAATACTCCCCTCCGTGTGAATGGTTTGCTCTCATTTGACACCTGGTAAGTGAAGCTGTCAGATTGTAGGTTCCAACAGAGTCCCAAGCTTCTCTGAACTGGAAGAGGGTCTACTCCTAGGTCTAAATCTTTCAGGTCCTTTGCACGATCCTCAACAGGGAAAGCTTCCATGACTTGACTGCAGTTTGATGCCACCTTGTGGAGGCGCAAGTTAGACTCTGCCAACATGTTTTGCGTTCTTGTGAGCAGGTTGATTGCTTCCTCTGGCGTGGCGACTGATGTGAGACCATCGTCAACATAAAACTGACGCTCAACAAACTGTCTTGCATCAGATCCGTGTTCTCGTTCTCCCTGCTGTGCTGCCTGTCTCATGCAGTAGATGGCAACAGCGGGTGACGGGCTGTTTCCAAACACGTGGACCTTCATTCTAAACTCAACTATGCTCTTTGTAATGTCATTGTCCTCATACCACAGATAACGCAGA